CACCCATGTACTAACGATTCTTTCTATAAGCAAATGTTGACTACAAATCAAACATGGGTCAGTAGGTATAAGGAGAAATATTTTCTCTGTAATGATTTTAAAAGTTATCTTTTGTATTCCACTAGAATTCAATAGCATCTGAATGACCAAGGCAACAATCACTTAGCTCTTACAAAGCTGCAGCTCAACACATCTTCCTCACCCTACCCTAACCTCACCACACTGAGCAACCAATGCACTGCGCTCCAAAGATGACGGCAGAGGCTCACACTAGCACACAAACTCCTGTGCCCAGGAGACAGAAATGCTTGTACACAGAATTGAGACAAACTGACTCCTTCGATGTCCATTACATTAATAACAATATCACTGTCTACTTCATTCAGATACAAGAGCAAAAGAGCTAAGTCTCAGTAAAGGCCGCTAAGAGAACCTGTTTCCTGAATAAAGGAAACAGCATCAAAGCCAAATGCTTTTGTAAACATGACTTCCAATTCAGTCAGAGCACACAACACATACATTTGAAGCCTAATTTAAACAAAATCAAATCTGAAAATAAAGTAAACCCTTAAAATTCTGCTTCTGATTAGTCAGTTTACTAGAAATACCTGATTGTGTTGCGATCCTCTAATTTGGAAATGAAATGGGGGGGTTATTCATTCCAGGTTAAAGGAAACAGTGGGGAGAGAATTACCAAACATGGGAACCTTGCTTCTCTGAAACCTTAGGTGAAAGTACAGGAGCCAGCACTTGGTGTGCTCATCTCTTGTTTAACAGACCTACATTCGAGCTGTAAAACTCCAACTCTCCATAAGGAAAAGACATTCTTTCTCCCCAAAGAATCTTTTGCACATGGGAGCACAGGGGTAGGGAGAGGAAAATGACTTCTGTGGAATGACTGGGACTTACTTCTCCACTGCTCTAATGTGATCTTCAAATACACCACTAGCTCATGGGGTAGTGATCTGTGCATTCAGACATGAGGAAAGGGATCCAGAAATGAAGCTTATAGGCAAGCTTAGTTTAATAAAAAATTAGAACAGAACAAGTATTTATAAAGAAGGGGAGCATAGTCTTATTTTTAACTTTAATGTTTTAAATGTTATTTTGTACGGATGCTAATAATTCCTTAGATTTAAAAGTCACACTCTGAGAAGACATGACAACTGTAAACAGCTAAGCCTCTCTGAATCAGCAAGGAGAGGAGTACCTTCTGAAACCATTACTCATTTAATCCAGTAAAGAGCAGGGCTTGATGTTCACCATGACAACCCAGGGAAGTGGACTTACAATGTCCTGTAATGTCTTTCCTTCTCTGTGTGGTGTTTGTGTGTGTGTGTGCACGTGTGCACACTCATGTAAAGGTCAGAGATGGATACCAGGTACCTTCCGCAGTCACTCTCCACTTTGGTTTTGAGGTAGGTGCTCTCAGTGAACCTAGAACTCACTGATTCAGCTAGCCTGGATGGCCAATGAATTCCAGGGCTCTACCTGCTTCCCTCTTCCAACACAAGGGCTACAGATATGTGCTGCCACACCTGGCTTTTATTTAGGGTTCTGAGAACCCAAACTCAGGTCCTCACACTTGGGCTTCTGAATGAGCTATCTCCTCAACACAACTTAGAACAATTTCCATTATAAGTATTTGCATTTGAGAGCAAGTACAGTAGTTAAATATCAGACTGACAAAATCTATTCCCTCCCTCTCAGCACTTGCATCTGTTTCTGAATGTCTCATAGTTGTTGTATTTTTGTGTGGTTTCTCCTCAGTTTAGAAATGACCTATCAGAACTCAATTTCCCTGCTTAATACAATGAACTTCTATTCAATATTTAAAAAATATATACAATCTGAAAATAATTATTAACATGTCACACTGTGATAGCAACAAATAGCTCACTTATTATGTTCAACTCAGAATGCTCAAATTTTATAGTGGAGGCCCTTTACAAAGCTTGAAATAGTTGCCATCAAAGTATAGTCTTGGAAGTTAATGGGGATTCACAAGGGGAAGGAAGTTGCTACTCAGCCACAAGCCTGCCAGCCCTCAGGAGTGATGGGCACTTTTAGCTGAATGTTTCCACATGTCCACTCCTAACTATTAACTGTAAGAACAGGGGAATCAGAAAATTTGTTTGAGGGATTTAAATATCCACTACAAATTCTGGCAAATTCAAAGTTGGAAATTAAGCAATGTACATAACTTGCTGATTTTGATATGTCTTCTGAACTAGAAGCTCATCATTGTTAAGTACTTATGAATGGGCATAACAGTAGAGAACAGAATTTTAGGGAAATAATCTTATCCTCAGTACTGTTCTTCATAGCCATGTCACTTATTATTATCACTACCAAAGGGTATTAGGAATATTTACACGCAATGGTAAAAGAAAATAAAAAATTTAAAAAAGATTAAAACAGACATGTCACAAAGCTCCATGGAACAACAATAAACATATAGTGTTCAACACCCATCATCAGAGAAATGCAAATGGAAAAAAGTACTATTCCAAACCACCAAAATAGCTACAGTTACCAAGACTGTCATCAAGAGATGGCAATGATATGGAGCAACAGAAATTCTCATGCACTGTTGGAGGACTGCGCCTCACTTGATAAAAGGTCCAACAGTAGGGGTGCGGGTGGCGGGGGGAGATAGGCTTCATGTGACCCAGTATTTCACTTCGAGAGCAAGTTTGTTATTGCTGAAAGAAACTCTACACCCCTAAACTGTCATCCTCAGTCCCAAACCCTATGCAATCAGTATGCCATTTTCTTCCTCTATGTATCTATTCTTCATATTCCACACAAATAGACTTGCTGAAGTATGTAATCTTTAAATCCACCTGTCTTCATGGTTATATGTGTGGTATCATGTACCAGCACTTCATTCTTTTCATATTCTCATGGACAAATCACAATTCTGGCATCTATATAATCAACAGTGTTGGACTTCCTCCTGTCTGGGGCTCCTCAGAATAAAGCTGCTGTGTATACATATGCCCATCTTTATCCTGGATATGGAAAAGGAACTGCTGAGTCTAAAGAAGAACTCTGTGGTTCTCTGTTTAAAGAACATGGAGCTGCTCTTTGCAATACTGCACAATGTTATACCACATCAGTGTGTGAAGACCAACTGAGTTCTAAGTCCACTCACACTGCCTTGAATAGAAGCACAAAAGTTTGTCATTTTGTTGAAGTCCAACTATTTTTCTCTGGTAGTTTTCACTTTGGGTGCTCTAAGATTATTGGTTATGTTTTCTTCTGAGAGTTATTCTCTAGCTTCTACACTTCAGCAATACAATCCATTCTGAGATAACTTTTTCCTTATACCATGAAGCATAGAGACAATCTTATTCTTTTGCATGTAAATATCTAGCGGTCCCAGAATCATTTGTTGAAGACTTATCTTTTCTGCACTGAACAGTCTTGGCGTTTTTTTTAATCAAAAATCTATTGACCATACATATATACCATGCTGACCCTCCATTTTCATGAGTTCTGTATTTGTGGATTTAACTGACCACGGGCCTAGAATACCAGGAAGAAACTTTACCCACACTGAACATGCAGAGACTTATCTAGACATCCTACCCTAAACAATTTGCATAGGATAGCAACAATTTATATAGCATTGGTATTGTAGTAGGTATTATAAAGGATAGAGGAAGATGTATGTGCAAATATTATGCTATTCCAATATGGGATTTTAGCACCTACTGCAGATTTGGTATCCACAGGGCATTCTGAAACCAATTCTCTACAGATAGCAAGGGACTGTATAGTTCTCAATTCTAGTTCATGTACATATATGTCCATCCTCAGGTCAGTACCACAATTCTTGAATACTGTTGCTTAATGGTAGGCTTTGAGGTTTTCTTTCTTTACTTTATTCATTATATGCTGGTAAGCACTTAAATGATCATATGCAATATAGATGTTAAACATAATGCAATGCTGCAGCCCCTCTGAGCATGTTTACATACATTCAAATGCACAGCTTCTACAAGGTTATTTTGACAAGGTTGGTCAAAAGGAATGTACATCTTAAATTTTCATAGGCATTGACAATTCACCTTCCAACAAGGTTAAGTCAAATTATACTCCTTCCAATAATATTTAAGAAGCCCACGTGACCTACTTCTCTCCAATAGAGTATTCTTTTTTCAATCCTTACAATTTTTCTCCAATTTTCCAATCTCTTTTGTCATGATAAAAGGATGTGAATATGGTTCTTCTAAAAAATGACTGATACTACAGCAAGTACACCAGTCTTCTCTCTCTCGTTGCTTCTCTACCTGTACTCTCAAACTGACCGAAGAAACACATGGAATGAATGCACCCATGAAAAGAATAGTACCTGACACTGTCAAGTGGTTGATGGAATGTTCCAATTACGTGGTATGAAAAATGACTGCATCCAATGAAGAGGAATGTTAGAGTAGACTTGACATTCCTTCAAGACTTTTTTCCATATCAAATATAGAAAGAGGAGCTGTCAGTCTTTTAGACATACTAAACAGTGACAATGACTTATGAAGTTAGTTTGCCCATCAATAAATCAATTAGGACATCCAAAGAATGGTTTAATTACTAGTAAAATGTTTGTCTTCACAATTGGGAATTTATCTTAAATAATTTAAAGGAAAACATAATGTTGAAATAGTGTTATTTGTAACATAGGAAAACAAAATGATCAGTGTGGTATAAAAGGAAGATTAGAAAAAATTACTTCACACTAGATGCTAATAATAGAAAAAAATATGTCATTATTAAGACTATAAACACAAGGTCTGCTGTCATATAAAAAATACTCTGCTAATTTTTAAGAGGGATGCAAAATTTTATGTATACTTTATACATAATTAACAGTTGTAGGTAATATTCTCTTCTAACTTGTAAACTTCACATAACTTTTTAGTTATTACATCATCATTTAGTTATAACCGCAATTACATCATCTGTTCATACATGTCAGTTTACATAAAAAATATACTTACTGTGATGATGCCAATCAGTTGTGTATAAAAGAGTCCTGTTATTCCAACTAACATAGTAATGCCCATAAAGGCAGCTAGTCTCATGATAGCCAGCTCATGCCGAACAACAAAGAGGTCCTACAAAGAGAAAGAAAGTCTTAAAAATGACTTGCAGAACTGCCTACTGTTGAAGTCATACCAATATGTCATGCCTAAGTATTCCCCTTCCTGCTTTAAAGAAACCACCTCCTCCTCTTGTTCCATGTCATCAACACACAAATATTAGAAATTTTCAAAAATAATTTTAGAACTTACAACAATAAAGTTGAACACTACAGGAATTCACTACTGTACTGTATCTTTAAATAACAATCTCTCTCAATACCAGGGTTATAAGCTACTTTTTTTTTTAAACATTGTGGCAGAAAACAAAAATCAGAAAAGGTATGGAATGTTTGGTCCACAGCAGAAAGTTTGTTATTACACTGCCAAAATTTTGGAATGTACAGTCATGATTTATAATATTAAAATTCAAGTGACCCAAATCCCTAATAATTATCAAATTTAACCCCAATGAGGGGAAAACCTGCATAACAGTACACGGGGACAGCCTCTTCAAGCACACTCCATTCATTCTTCCATTAGTCAGCCCTGTGACACACATGGTCAACAATAATGATGTGCCTTACACGCTCCAGAACTACACTGGTAAAACTCCCAAACGTGCCACACTGTACTACTGGAGGTGCGGGCACAGAGTCCTGCAGAGATGGAAAGGAACACGGTGGGGAACGGGAACTGTGATAAGGCAAACGTCATTTGGTCATTTCCAGGGAATGGAACTGAGGATTCTTAAAGTGAACTGCGTTCTAAGAACAGAAAATCAAAAAAACAATTTATTTGGCATCATGGTTCCTGAACATACCAGAGGGCGTCCAAGAATTAGGATTCTCCAGGAGCCTGTTGCTGTTAAACATGGAAGTAAAACAGCCAGTTCATAGATGCAACAGGTGGAGGGAAGGATGCCCCAATACAACCACTGTGTGCTTATGGTCTTTTCCTTAAAAATGACTGCCCCATCCCCATGAGAATCAGCCTATCACTGAGGGATTTGGGTTGTTTTGTTTTCTAAGAAAAGAAATAAATTTGATCCCATCTGACATATCTAACATAGAGATATGAGTTTTCAAAATGACTAAATAACCACCTTTATATGCAGAGATTAATGCTGATATGAAAATTCATTTTATAACAAAATACATTTTATTTTAGTCTTAAAATTCTGTATAGCTGTATTATTTTTCCTGCATATTTGGGCCTTTTGTTTATTGTAGCTGGAGTTTTCTCTCTGGGTCCCACCAAGCCCTGGCAGTCTGACAGCCCACTTACAAAATAAACACACAGACGCTTATATTATTTAAACTGTTTGGCCTAATGGCTCAGGCTTCTTGCTAGCTGTTCTTATATCTTAAATTAACCCATTCCTATTAGTCTATAAGTTGCCATGTGGCTCATGGCTTACCAGTACCTTACAACTTGCTTGTCATGGTGGCGGCTGGGAGTGTCTCTCTGCCTCAGCCTTCCACCTCCCAGAATTCTTCTCCTCCTTGTCCCGCCTACCCTATCCTTCCTGCCTGGCCACTGGCTAATCAACTCTTTATTTATTAACCAATCAGAGCAACACATTCACAGCATAGAGAACATCCCACAGCAGTTTATTAATTCCAAAATATAGTTGGAGTGTTTAGAAGTTTATTATGTAATTCCTCTCCTCCCACGTTCTTTGAAGGAACATAAATTCTTTCAGTCTCATTACATCCTAATGGAAATTAATATCTAAAGGGAAACTCACAATTTATACCTCTCTAGTGACTATCAATGAATGCCCAGAATCAAACATTACATTTTGTATATATGTATGTACGTGCAACTTTGTTATTATTGAACAAATACGACCAGCACCTAATTTCCAAGCAGACAGTGAATACTTAAGAAAAATTGTCTTGTTCGTCTTTCCGAATTTTATCAGTAGGATTTCTAAAAAGGATGGAGCAATTCATAAGAAACTGGGTAACATATTTTCTTGTTAAATTCATAACTGAATGCAGCACTGCAGTGTTTGGTAGAATTAAGACAGTGGCAACAGTGCTCCCAGGTTTTAACCATTTAAACTCCAGGAGACTGACAGTCTCAGATGCGAGAGCTGCTGCGTCTTCCATGTGAAATGCTACTCTATTTAGAACTCGACGCCACAGAAACAGTCTCATGCAGACGTGCACAGCCATCCTGTTATTACAGCACATGCTCAGGGCTTGTACAAGGTTTCTATGTTCCATCTGTCAAAACAGAAAAGGAATCCACTGACACAAAGAACTGACAACTGTTAGATTAGACTGTTTTTGTCTACCAATACCGGTAAATGTTATACAGACAACATCCCCAGCAGTAAGTCAGTACACATGAACAAAGAAGCTAGATTACCTTCACACTAGCATTAATAGTTTATTTTTTTCATATTGATCTTAACCCCACATTCTTCTTTGTTATACTTATCAAAAGTTCATAAGCTAAATATGTATTTCATCAGTATTCTCCATTCTTCAGGGAGCATTAACAAACAAGTGACCTTGTACATGATAAGAAAATGAAGATCATTAAGGCCTAAAGTATTGTAATGACAATAAACAGCTGAAAGAGTCAGATTACCTTTAAGGATGGTTATACAAAAAAAATTTTTTTTAATTATGAGATTTAGAAATATCCAAAGATACTTGCAATCAAATCTTCTTGGTTTTGTTGTTTTTGTTCTTTGTTTTTTGTTGTTGTTTTTTTGTCTTTGTTTTTTTGCCAAAAGCCTAGGCAAAGAATTGTGTGGCACAATTCTATGACACAAAATCCAAATAGTGACACTATTAGACATCCACCAGGTGGGATAGCAGTAATGTATCTTGCTAGCAGAAGAGTCTGGATGGCCACTGCACATTATTTATTTCCCTCTTAGGAATAATGGCAGCAAGTCCTTTGTTTAAATTCTTCCTCCTCGTCCCCTTCTGTTACCCCTGCTCTCATATCATTAAATGTAATTTGTATAATTTTGACCTTCACATAAAAATAACTATAAAAGAATCAATCAGAAGTTAATTTGAATCTACTTCATCTAAAAATAATTCTAAAAGCATAATTTTAGAACTGAAGTGGCATTCCACAAATGATTAGCTGTGTAACTCCTACTTTAACACTACAAATTATTTACTTAAAAATATGGATTTTCCCTCTCATAGATAGTAATTACCATCTACAATATCTAGTAGGCAGTGGGTATACATGTTTTAAAATTTAAACTATATGACATTTTTATAAGATAGAATGAGCAGTCTTTATGTTAGATAAAAATATTAAATGCAGGCTGCCTCAAAAAAAAGAAACGAAATCATCAATGTATGAATCTATTGACTTGTCATTCTTTTAATAGCAAATTTTGTAGTGTGATAGTATATTTCAAATCTATAATTACATCTTTTAAATTGCCTAGAAACTTTTCAGATGCACCAGGCACGGTGGCATTTACCTACAATGCTTGCACTTGGGGACGGGGCAGGGAAATCGGAAGTTTAAGGTCGCCTTGGGCTACACAGCAAGTTTGAGGGCAGCTTAGGCTACCTGAGACACTGGTCCCTCCCAAGCCTAGAAACAAAGTTCTTCAAGAGGGAACAGAAGCAGTGTCTGCAGACTGGTGCTTACTATGCCAGAAGCGCCGGCCCAATCCTCTTGTCAGATCTGTGAACAGACAAGCACAGAGTCTCCGCCACCTCACCAGTCTCAGGGACACTCCAAAAGAGATGTTTCCCACTATTCCAAGTGTATACAAGTCAGAATTACCCAATCTAAGATAAAAGTTGGAAAATACATGACTGATGAAAGATTTATGCCCCAGATATAACTTAAGAACATTTACTCTAAATATAGTGACACCTTCCTTCATATTTAATTAAAAATCTGCAGTTTTCTTTTGTTTCAGTAATACACTAAGTGACTAAAAATCTGCTGATGAAACTCTTATAAATAAGTATGTGTAACAGTCACATATAGACCTTGGCCAAAGATTAAAGTTTATCTTCTTCAATATTCATTTAATTTATTTAATTAGAATAGTAAATGACCTCACAAACAATGGGTTTGTTAAATCCTATAATCATTTTTATTCCAATAATTAAAGTAAGACATCAGTTTCAAGAGTTTTAAGAAAAACTCAACATTACACTGTCATGAAAAAGTTAAACAAATTCAGTGCCTAACATTTTAAAGGCTTTTCTAGACTTAAAGCTTATACACTTTACACATTTTCCCAAACTGATTATTTCATCCTATTTGTTTAAAAACTGAGCCTGTTACTCAAGTTTCTGAAAATTTCTGGACACCCATTTATTATTTTTTTACACTAATTGCGATCTTTGGAATTTTTTAACTTAAGATTTATTTATTTTACATCATGCACCTGAGTCTTTTGACTGTATCCTTGTATGTACACCGAATGTGTGCCTGGTGCCCAGGGAGCCCAGGGGAGGGTGGTCAGATCCCCGACAACATCAGCTACAGATAATGTGAGCCACTAGAGGAGTGCTGGGAACTGAGCCTGGATCTGGCAAGAGCAGCAAGTGCTCTTATACACTAAGCCATCTATCCAGTCCCTGGAATCTTTAAACTACTGTTTTCAATGAGGATAAATCATATAAACTAATTTTTTTTTTTTTTTTGTAGCTCATGGGCTGTCCTTAGCAGAAGACCTACAATATAAATCAGTTTAAGAAAGAAATCCTATTTGGGGCATCAATTCATGTTGAACTGTGCCATTATACTTTCTATACCTTCCTTCCCTCAACAACGGGTATATTTAAGTATTTCCGAAAACTTCACGAGTAGCCAGGAAAGGTGGTATTTTGAAGGTAAAGATCAAGATGAAGCCTGGGGCGGGGAGTGCAGTCCAGTGCTGAAGGGCTTGTCAATCATGCACAGAACTTAGGCTCACTCCCCAATACCTCAGGGGGAAATACGATTCTTTTTTTAAAGCATGAAGTTACTGTAAGAAAAAGAAAAACAGGGATAACTGCAAAGAAACTAAAATAATCCATTTCAGAAAG